GGACACCGGCCCTCGAGGCCTGGAGTTCGACACCCCTGCTGTAACCAGTCAGCAGCCTCGTTTCTTCCATCCCTGTAACAAAGCTCAGTGTGGTTAAACTAATGGAGTGTTGGATGCTGACGGACGCAGCTGCACGGCATCTGCAATCACGCTTGACGGCATAAAAAGCCGTCTGTCTGTCTGTGGTGGTGTTTGTGTGGCGCTGCGAGCTGCAGTCGACTGTGTTTGTAACAGCAGCCATGTGAGTTAATCAAACTGTCATCGGCTCTGGTGTCGTTACACACTGAGCAGAGTCTGATGTGGAACAAGAGGCTGATAAGTAAAAGTGAGAGAGCTCAAATTTACTGAGGTGTGAGCGGCTGCACCATCTCAAACAAAGCCGTCACGAACGATCGCTGTTGCTGACAGTAGTGCAGGAGCAGCAGCCCCAACAAGAGTCAGAGACAGACGAAGGTGGAAACAACACGACAGATGGAGATGAGGCCGCTCTAAACATCAACTCTGCTTCTTAACACAAGCAAAGAACCTACACTCAGATCCAGCCACCGCTCACTCAGCTGCTCACTCAGCCAACACTACTGAACATCTTTCTCTACATACAGAGAAAGAACTGGAAATCCCCATCAGCAGCTCTGCACACATTTGGATTTGACTCACACGTCATAGATCAAGCAGTGAACAGCTGATCTTCAGTCTGCAGACGGGCTGATTCCTGAGGTTGTGACAGTGAACGCCCTTGTCCTCGCACTAACATTATGCACGAGTGTAACAAATTGTTTTTGGTTATTTTTGCTTTGCTTTTATTTGTTTTTGAATCATTACATAAACATTTACTGCAATTAATTTATTGGGGTATTTATAAAAATCTGCATCTACTGAAAGCTTTAAAACCATCTTTTTATTTAGGTTGTTAAAGATGCAAGAATCTGTTTGTGTGTGAACTGGACCTGAGGTGATTCTGAGGATCACACAAACATGTGAGCACATGATGCAGTACATCGAACGACCAGCAGGTGTCAGTGCTTCAGCGCGAGCTTCCTCACACTATCACTATGATGGGTCTTTAGATTTAAAAAAAAGATTTGCCATATAAGCTCAAATTAAACAGCAATCATTGGATATAAACTGAAACTTTGGATTATAATATTTTAGGCAAAGAAATGATTGTTCATGAGAAAATATTAATAAATATTAGAAATGGAGTGACACCAAAAAATCCACTTAATTAATGAAATGACTTCCTGAGCACCATCAGAAAACTCCAGATTTCCGTTGCGGTTGCTTCTCTTTGGATTAGACGATCTACTGATATTGATAAATATATTCGCTCAGCACGTAAACAGGATTTTGTTTGTGACTAAGAAGCTGACACCATCTGCTTTGCTTTTGTCGTATGTTTTCTAAGTCATACCTTTACTCTCCACACAAGCTTTAGCCCGACACGTGTTATATTTCCGACATTGCCTCTGACAGACTGACAACAGATGCTCCCTGTGGTTAAAACAGGCCGTCCCATCTTTAGAATGGAGCGCCAACGTGAAGCCGACCTACAAAGTCCCCGTTAAAGCTGCCAA